GTTTCTGAGTAGCAAGTTAAAGCATTTAGTGCTTTTATCATACTAAATGGATGAAAAGGAACAGAACGGGTTTGATTTGACTATGCAGTAGGTAAAAGGATACCACACCTTAATGAAGGTGCAGGTGATCCGGGAAAAGGGCTGCAGCTATGCCTGTGTAGGGTTTTGAAAACACCACCTAACCTGAGCAATGTGAACGTGAGGTGGTTTCTTTCAGATCTCTTAATTGCACTTGCTTGGTGAGGAACTCAGACTACCCATTTTATGGTAAATTTGGAACAGGTTGGGAACACACGTGTAGTTAATTAGAGCTATTCAGTGAATTAACTGTTGGCTGGCTAAACAACTGGTGCTTGTCTGCCTATTTATTTAAATGCTAATACTGTTGCTTACATGTAAGTTGAACTTCTTTACAGTTCAATACAAAATGAGTGAGGAGTCTAATTATTGAGAATACATTCTCAGGACAGTTTCACATACTTATTTTGCTCTATAGTCATACTAACCTGTAATTTACAGTTGAGTCATTGTTCTGTCACCCTTGCTAAGTAAAGGCTTTCAAAGACAGAAAATTGAGCTACCATGTGGCTAGTGGTATTGGTTGAGCAACCACAATGGGTTTTGCTATTTTTTGTTTCTTCAGTCAATTTTATCTTTCTCTGTAGAATACAAGGAGTATTTAAGGGGGATTGCTTCTGTTGATAAAGCTACACATTACCATTTCTTTAGGCTTAGTGGCAAATATATTACCATTTTGTAGTACAAGTTAACAGCAAAACTCCCTGTTATTTTTGCTTTTACTGTAACTACCTGTAAATACAGTTATTTTCCATAGTTTTATTAATCATGATTGCACTTTTTTTTTTAAACTAAAAAAATGGATGACCAGAGTTTATTCATGGACATCTCAAGTGATACAGTTTCCAGCTGTATTCTCTCTTCATTCCATTTTTCAATGCATCTGCAGATGCACACATTAAAATCTTGCCAAGTTCACTAAGGAGAACTTCTGTAGGTATAAAAGGAGACTCCTGTAGGTATATCATTGGCACTGTTTGTGGGGTGGGAGGAGCATCCTACCTTTTGTGGCCTGCAGTGTGCACTCTGATGCCTCCTTTCTCTAAAACACATTCTTAGAAAAACAGACTTGTATCTTTAAGGAAACAAATCTCCCAATAGATTCCTAATCTTTCAAAAAAATACCTTCATCTTTGCTTTCAGCAGTAAGAAAGCATAGGTGTTGATCATTTCTAACAAAGATAACTGGTATCCACAGTCCATAGCATAAAATAGATTATGCTAGCAAAAACAGCAGTCTCACTTAAAACATTTAAGTTTTTACAGTTACCTTTCCTCAGGCCCCATCATTTTAGCAGCTGGGTTTTCCTGCCTTGATTTGTAGCTTTATTATAAAGTAACACACTGTAATCTCTGCTTCATAATCATATTAAAAACATGTTCTGGAGAGTCCCTTACAATGAACAAAGAAGGCTGTAAGCTGAACATCTTGAGCGAGGCTTTGTCCAGGGAAGATTTGTTCCCTTTAGGGGATCAAAGAACAACAAAACAGCTACAGGAGGACTGTTACAAATTACTGCTCTTAGAAGAGGATAGTAACCTTAGACTATTTAAAAACGAGTGGTACTATGCCTACCTTTTAAAAATAGTGTATGATTGAGCAGGGTTTTTTGCTGTTACTCTGCTGTATATAGTAGCTAGCCATCAAGTGGAATAATATGGGAAAAGCAGCACCTTCTCCTGCCAGCGTATGCTAGAATTATATGGCAGGAATACAGTGCACTACCTGTAAAAGGAAAACTAGCATTTTTATGCTTTTAGTTTGAGAGAAAGGAAAAGTCTGGCAAGTGGGCTTTATGTCTTTATTTCCCATGGCCTGCAGTCACATCATTGTCTAGTTTATGTTGGAGAAAAAAATGTGCCGATTTCCTTTAAAAAGCTCTAGGCAAAGAGGAGGCCTGTATTGGTGTTTTAGAGGATTATTTGATTTTATTTTTTTTTTAATTCTGTTGCTCAGAGATTATGTAGGCAATGATTTGGACTAGTTGGGTTGAAAATCAAAAGTGTTTCCCTGGAATAGCAGTATACAAACGTAAAAAAAGCAGATGTCATCCCCTTAACACCTTAGCTACAGTTGGAAAGTTTGAGGAAAGCTGCATAGCTTACCTGCTTCCGTAGTTGATCCAGAGTAGTTCAGGTGACACACCAAGGCATGCACACATCCTCTAAGAACCAAATATGTTGGAGTGAGGTGAGGAAGCTTTTTAGCTTGGTCATCCTTCACTCACACCTGTTTCTTCTTATGAGTCAAGTCGTTACACCTGTCCATTTGCCTACTGGGAGTTCCTGCTCCTCTGGATTGGGAGGGACACCTGGGAGTAGTCGTTGACCTGCTTCTCCCCTTCAGTTCCATAGCTTCTTAATAAATTATGGTTATTCTTACGCCACATCCTACATTTATTTCCAGCACTGCAGCTGGAAGAGGAAGGAGAAATGAGACATTCAAAATCACCAGTTACGCAGCAGCTGTTTCTGTAAATCATCATAGCAGCAGGCCCATAGTCACAGCAGTCCTGCTTTAATCTGTTGGGAACCAGCATAGCAGCTCCAGAACTACTGGCATAAACACCTTCGTCTGGCATCATGTTGAGAGCCATTGTCTTTAGTTTGTGATATAGAAACACTTCTTCCATTGCCAGTTTTATAACGAGATCCAGGCCATTCTGAGTTCAAACTAAGATTTGCTAACAATGGTTGGATGCTGTGTGGCTAAGCGTAACTGAGCACTAAGAATAAATCAGCAGATTAGGCAAGATGTAGAAGTTTATCCATGATACGTGGCTGTTAAGCATCCAAGTACTTTTGTTGCAACTTCATTACTTGCTGCTAGGAAGCAGCACCACTGGTTTCTTCAAACTGCTGGGGATGAGTAATCTACCATGAAAATGGGAGAAATTCCTTGGTCCTTCCATAATCAACTAATTGGAACAAGCAGTCGCAGAGTGGGATAAATGAGCAAATATTTCTTTGTGAAGCTCACAGGAAAACATGTAACATGAGGAATTCTTCGCCCATGACTGACTGCAGAACACCCAACTAAAACACACACCAGGCTCTACTGAGACTTATTTTTCTCTGCTGCAGTTCCTGTTATTTCCTCTAGGGAAGCCTGCAGATCGACATCAGAGTAAGATGGCCTGACATCTATCTATTTTAATGTAACAGCAAGAAAGGCATTTTCAGCTTGTAATCAGAGGATCTTAACTTTTCTTTTTGCTAGCATCTCTGGACTGTTTTCCTTATTTTATTTTATTTTTTTCACAGTGTAGCCCAACTTATTCAGGTTGCCTTCAGCTTCACTGGGAGTTACTTGAGAATGAAAATAATGTAATTGCTCAGTTGAATAGCAACTGACTGTCCTCAAATGTCCTACACGTGTTTAAAAGGGATTTGAGTAGGATCATTCTCCAATAGTTTAAAACCTATGAAAATAACCTTTGAACACAATCAGACTCCAATGAAACCAGGCCCCTGGCTTGTTCAATTGCTTTCTTAGCTCTTCTGTCTCTAGCTACCCTTTTTCCTTGTTCCCCAGTTTTTTTAGACCTGCCCATGTGGTTTGCAGAAGCTGCTGTATCAATACTAATTTGTTGAAAAATGGTTTTACTCAGGTGTTTTTATGTTCATGACATAGCCAGTTTTTAACTGCATGAGCTGCCGTGAATAACCAAGGAGATGGCTCTATATGAGCTGATACTGTTTGATCATTCCTGTGGGAAATAAGTATGTCTTTCTGGCATATGTCATTTGTAGCAGTCCACAGAAAAAAGCAATAAAATAGATGATTTTCCAATAGAAGAACGCTTCCTCTACTGAGACTGTTTAACCTTAGAGCAGAAGAAACAAGGAATGCTGACAATTATTGAGGACTGAATGAAGATTGGGAAGAAGTATGTAACTGAAATATTTGTTGTGAAGAATCAAGAAGCTGTTTTTTGTTTTCTTTTAAGAACACTCCATATTAGCATATGAGATCAGTTTTAGAAAAGCCAAATGTCTAAATGTAGTTGTTGTAGAGCAACAATGTGACTTTATGTCTTTAGCTATGGCTGTGCTGCTTCCGTTACTCGGCATAAACTGCAAACAAAAAACCAATGATCTATTGCACTTTCTTCACCCCAGAGGCAAAGCCCCTTGGGCATGGGGCAGCAGAAAATATCAAAACAGCTGTAACGAACTTCAGATATCCTGCCTTCTGTCAGCTAAATTGGTCCTAAATACTTACAGCTTTTCACAGCATCGTATGGCCTGCCATGGTCTTTTTACACACTTAAATAGCTGCCTATAAAGGAGACCATGTACTTTCTGAGGAACTGCTTCAAAAGGATTTTGTTATATACACGCCACCTTTGCTGCATTAACAAAGTTCCGTTCTTATGTGCACAGTACAGATTCTTGTAAGGTAGTATTAAAAAAGAAATCAAATTATAAAGCTTGCAAGGGAGTGGGAGATCTGAGCCTAGGAGCCTGAGAACTGGAATCAGTACAGGTTTCTTAGATGTACTGATTACTTTTATAAAGGTATAACTATTTGTCAGTTAATCCTAATTGGTGTAATGCTCTTTATATTTTAAGGCTCATCAGCAGAGCAGAAAAGCAGACCGTTTGTTGGCAGCAGGGAAATATGAAGAAGCAATTTCATGTCACAAAAAAGCCGCTGGTAAGTAGGTGTTTCTCATGCTCCAGCTCTTAAAATCAGTTTCTAGAGTCGCATGCTTCATGTAAGTAGAGTATCTAGTTCCTTGCAAAACTTTTATTCTTAGAATGTGAATTTGTTTTTCAGTCCAGATCAAGCACTCTTTTGGAAACCTTTCTTCTGGTATGAGCAGCTAAAGTCAGATGTTTCCAAAATTGTTTTGATTGGGTGTGGTTTTCATTGTGAAGGTAGTTCTTGCCTTGAGAAGAAGCCAACAGCTTGTGTCATGCACAAACCACGGCTGGGGACCTGCTGTAAGCCAGTTTCACTTTGCACTTTGTGCTTTCTTCACTGCATTCATAGCTGAAGTTACCTGCTTTCTCTGTTGATAAAGGAAGTAGATTTTTTTATTTTTAATTTTCTTCCTTCCCTTTCCTAATGTCTGAATCAAGGCAGCTAAGAACCCGTGATGACCTCAGCTTTCCCAGAACTCAAGCAAAACAGCAGATTGCATCGCAGGCCTTGATACTGTGATTACCAGCCACTCATAAGTGAGATTTTGGGCATTTACCTGTCCATTTCACTCGTCATGATTAATTATTTGTTTTCAAGTCCGTCAGCTCTCTGACAGCACAGCATCTGCTTGGCAGAAGATGAAAGAGGAGGTCTTAATTGGTGCCACAAGTAGGACATTTCCAGTGACAGGGCTTGTGTGGAGACAAAATAAGTGGCTGCTCTGAACATCGTAGCCTAGATACCAGGCATTCTCCCTTCCCATTCATAAATACTAGAAAACCCCGTAAAATGAGAAACTGATTGTTTCTTTAGTATTTATGAATACTCAGAGCAATGAGACATAGCAGGCTCTTCGGTTTCCTTTGCTTCATATATCAAGACAAAAACTGAGAAATGTATTGAGTGTTTCTTGCTTTTTTTTGTCTGATGATTCTATGCCATTATCTTACATCCTTCCAAATTTGGTTAAGAATTTCCTATACCTTGTCATTTTCAGCACTAGCAAGATCTGCTCAAAGTCTAAAGTGCTGCTCTGACCCTAAGCCATCATGTTTTCTGGTTTGGAGGGGAAGTTGGTGAAAAAAATGGGCAACTAATGACTATATGTCTTCATCAAGAATATAATTAAAAAGCATGACTTCATAACGCTGGTGTGCCATGGGGAAGAGGGTTTTACTTACCACATTTTGTCTTAATGTGTTAAAAGTCTGGTCCTTAGCTGTGTTTCTCCTCTTTACGAGGAAGTTGTTGTTCTAGGACATTTCTGGAAATGGCTGTTGTCCTCCTCTGGAAAACCAGTTGGAACAACCTGAGCCAACAGGATGCCATGGGAAGGGCGTAGCATGTATTACATGATATTACAGTAATTTCCTCAGACTTCTGAAAAACAGCAGGTGTTTCCAGCCACTATAACGTGGTAAATACTTGGCCTCTGGACTGCTGTTTTGATGTGGGGATTCAGAATACAGACGATTTGAAGCCTTTGCTTACCTTTTATGGAAGCATTCAATTTTTTTTAACCCTGTCCTAAGCATCTATCAATTTTCTCTCTGCAGCATACCTTACAGACGCTATGAAGCTGACCCAGTCAGAGCAGGTGAGACCAAAGTGCCAGAATCAGCCACAACTCTGTTGTGTGCCTGTGTGTCATGTTGTACCCTGACTGATCGTACCCCTCTTGGGTGGTAGATTCTGCATAGTTTTCTGAACCCATGGCAACTGCACCAGGAGTTTTAGAAGTGCAGTGATGCTCATCTTCCTTGAGAGGTTTGCCAAGCTTACGTGGAACAGGGATGAGAGACCTACTAACCCGTCCAAGGGTTCTCCAGCAATGGTTTCTAGTCTGCGAGGCACCTTCAAGTAGATAATAAAACATACTTAACTTTTACCATGAGGCACTGAGGCTGTCTTGCTCAGACACAAAACTGAATGTCTCATCTACAGTCTGTAATTTTGGTTTTATTCCTCCCAGCTGGGGGATCTCCAGAACAACAGCCCTGCAAATTATCCGCGAAGGTAGTAGTGTAGTCTGCTCAGCACTTTTATAGCAGCAGGCTTTGAGTTTAGCCAGCATTATCAAAAAATAACCCTTGGAGATCAGACATCTGTCTTTCCTTCAAAGGGTCATTCTGGTAGAAATGTGGTAGCCTCTTAGCCACATGGCTCCTGTGAGTTGTTAACAACCATGCCACCCCCTTCATTAAATATAGTTCAATCATTTGGGACCATATCTGGCCCTGCTTAGTGCTGGGTGTTATTAATATAACATCTACCCAGATACCATCACAGAAGCATGCAGATAGTTTGTATTATTTAGCTCAAGTCCATGTCAAGTGAATCTCTTCCTTCTTGGTGTTAGTCATAGGTCAGTTAAGCTCCTAATGCCTCTGCTCAGAGGTATTGTAGCCTGGTCGGTGACTTCAACAAACAAACAAAAACCCCAAATGTTAACTTACTCCTTTACCAGCAGTTGTGTAAATTTGGGTGACATATCTGAATGGGTTGCACTGTAAAAGCAGAGAGCACTTCTTGTTGTATTTAGTATCTGAATAACAAAAGCTCCTCCCCTTCCCTTGGGCATGCTGTGATGCAACTCTTGTAAATATTTACATGCATATGATGTGTGAATATTGACATGGGATTAGGGAACACCAATTAAATTGTTTAATCTCGTTCTTACTCAGGCTCAGCTATCACTGGAATTACAAAGGGATAGTCACATGAAACAGTTACTGCTCATCCAGGAGAGGTGGAAAAGGGCAAAGAGGGAGGAGAAGCTGAAAGCCCAGCAGAATGCTGACAAGGAAATAGCTGCACATCTTCAGGCTTCTTATAAGCCATCTGCTGAAGACTCTGATGATCAAAACGTATTGGTTCCTGTTACTCAGAAATACAGCCCTTCCACAGAGAAACATCCACAGGATATTCAGGGTGTCTTTGACAGGGACCCAGATACGCTATTATTTCTGCTTCAGAAAAAAAAGGAGCCGGTGGAAGCGTGTATTGGGAGTAAAGCTCCAAAAGACGACAAAACAGTAATAGAAGAGCAGGCAACCAAAATTGCAGATTTGAAACGGCACATAGAATTTCTTGTAGCCGAGAATGAGAGATTAAGGAGAGAGAATAAACAGTTGAAAGCAGAAAGAGCTAGACTCCAAAAGTCTCCAGTAGACAAGGAGTTGGATGTAGATGCTGACTTTGTCGAGAAGTCAGAGTTGTGGGGTCTGCAGCAACACTCAGAAGCCACTTCTTCAGCTGCAACTTGGCAGAAGTTTGCAACAACCACTGGGAAGGCAAAGGACATTCCAATACCGAACCTCCCCCCCCTGGACATCCCGTCCCCTGAACTGCCTCTGCTGGAACTCTCCGAAGATATACTGAAAGGACTGATGAATAGTTAAAAACAAGGAAAAGTGCTCAATGTAGTTACCCAAACTTAAGAAAAGGGAAAACCACCAGGACAATGGTGATCTGAAGGCAGATATATCTAACACAATCCTACTGTTGGAGAAAAGGCATTAAAGCAACTTTGTTACTGTGAAATACACATCATATTCTACTTCATAGAAGTTAAAGGTACCATAATTGGTATAAGATGGCAAGCTCTTTAGTCTTTCTCCCAGTGTTTCAAACCAAATGACTGCCTGGAGAATGTTTCAAGTAACACAATCCTTCAGGGTTTTAAAGTATGCTATATGTAATAGTTACCTATAATGCCGTAAATGATGGTGCAGAACCTAACTGTTACGGTTGCCAGTTGGCCGCCACTTCATAATGAAAGATGCTTTCTAGCATGAATTTAAACTGTGCATTTCATTATGCATAACTTTGTTAACTCAGATACAGTGCAATTTATACACCTCCTAGATGGATTTATGTGCCACGCTCTATACTCCTGACGATGTTAACCTCAAGTCAGGAGAGATGTTAATTTCCATTCTATGAAGGAACTAACTTATTAGTTCTGTTGACGAGGTTTTTTTTTTGGATTATCTGTTTACATAATTAATCAGGGTGCGTCGAATCTAGCTATTGGTTTCTGTATAAAGTGACATTGTTTAAAAAAGAAAAATCTATACTTAAAGAAAAATACCCTTTTTGTTTTCAGTGATGCATGAATGGAAGTAATTCTAGCTGGCAGTATTTGATCAAAATAGAAATTGTTTACAGCTTAACCTGATTCAAAAAGGATATGAAAATAAAAAACAAAGTGTTTTGACACTACTCGTGTGTTAAATCTCTTACAAATGTTGCAGAGTGTAAAGAACAAATCCAGATTTATACTTACAGCATTAGTGCACACGTATAGCTGAACTTCCATGTTCATTATCCGGCAGATATGGGAAAGCCGGGGTGTATCGGAGGGCCTTGTCTACCCGTGAAGTGACTTGGTTAATAGCTGGCTAATAACACCTACAGCGCGCTGAGGGAAGCAGCAGCACTCCAGTTCTGCTGGTGGACAGGCCACGTGGAGCTGAACAAACGGCCCCGGGAGAGCAGTGCCCACCCTTTCAGGGTTGTTGTTTGGGGTGGTGCCGCCCTCCTCAGCCTGTGCCCTGCCCCAGCCCTGCACAGAGTGTCACCCGAGCCCCGACTTGGCTTTCCCAGACGGAGGATGGAGGGTTGCAATGTGTAGCGGAGGCATTAGTTAACTTTCGCTGTTAGTGATTAATGAAAAATGTTCGTTCCAAGCTACCAAATTTTAAGTTATTGTGCTGTTACAAGGTGAGCTTGCTTTCTAAGGGTACATTTTTTCTTCCAGAATAGACTTAGCAAGAACACCTTACTGCTGTGCATTCGCCCTTTGCATCTGTGTACCTGGCATCGCCTGTGCTTGCTTGAAGGGAAGCAGGGAGTGGGGGCTAGAAAAAAGCCTATGGCAACAAAGTTATGACAAGTTGATTAGAGAAGGTCCCTTGTGATGAATTGGTGAACAAAACTAATTTTGTTTGGGGAAAAAAAAAATATTTTTCAGTTGTAGCAGTTTAGCATCTGGTCCTATAGAAGAGCTGTGATGAGGTAACCTGTTCCAGGTCAGGCCAGGCTCACTGCTCCCACAAAAGTTACGTTCCCCACTGTCAGTTGCCTGGCTGGCTGTTAGAGGTTACAGGGCATGGAGCATAGTGCTTCTAGTCATATAAAGAAAGCAAAGAATATGTGGGGGTAGGGGAATTGCAAGCGCTACCTTCTGGTTTTAAGATTAATCGCTCTTGTCACTTACAGCTGCATTAACAAAACAGCAGATCTGAAGGAAGCTGCTTCTCTGTAGGAAGGCAGCCAAGCAGGGGCAAAACTCCACGCTGCTACTTTTGAAAATGCTGTTCAAACTTTTCTCTCTCCTGCCACACAGATGCTTGCTTGTACTTGCAGTCTGCCTACTCAATAAATGACTGCTACTGAAATCCTACTCCAGGCAGCAGGGCTCGCCTGAGAGTTTCTCACTCCCAGGAGGGATGCGGAAAGGAAAACGCCGCCATGTTCCCTTTGATAGGATGGGAGGACAGCGCTGCAGTGTAAGCACTGCTGGGGCTACTGCCAGCGTCACACAGGCCCCACGAAGGTGCTGTGCCATGCTGAGTATTTCTGCAGGGCAGAGACGGTCCTAGGGCTGGAGCAGGCGATACTGGTAAAGCGTCAGCTGGTGGCCTAGTGAAGAGCACAGGTGCTCCTGCTGAGAGGAGAGCCCTACCACTGCCAGCCTCTTCTTTCCCTCCTTTCCATGCCGCAGCACCCCCAGCCAGCAGGGAGACAGGTGTGTGGGAGCGGGTGGGATCGCCCCTCTCAGCAGCAGCATGGGACATTCATAAAACATGCTACAGCTGAGAGCCCACTGAATAATGACTTCTCAGTATAAAATTCTTTACATTCCAGGCAAAAAGCAAAGCATATTAAGTAAGGTGAAACATTTCAATTTTTCCAAGTAAGGAATTCTTTAGTCTGAATCCAGAGCTAAGCGATTACATAGTCCATTTAATGAGTGATTGTACAAAGAATATGCACAAGAGGACAAGTTCTGTAGGTAGATAGCGATATATCTAAGGAAATTCCCCTCTGATGTCTGTCAGCCCAACGGTTTAGAACTGTTTTAAAGGATTCTTGTCTTTCAGCTTGTTGGAGTTCTCGCA